GAACCGCTCTTAAACGTGAACAGTGTTATGACAATATCAGGGTTTCCAAATCATCCTGGGATTCGACTTTCTGCGCGGTCAATCCCAAGTTCCTCGCAATTATCGTCGAATCAGCCGGAGGTGGTGCCTTTATAGTTTTACCTCACAATAAGGTAAGTACAGAGAGATTTTATCACGAAATCACTTATTTTTATACAATTGAAATTTATTCATTTTTCTCACGATATGTTTCGCGAGATTTATATATCTCTCGCGGATTTTAATTCTAAAAGCCAATATTAACGTGAAAATTAAATTTATCGTAAATTTTATGAATATTTTGAATTTTTTACACATTTTAGTTTACCGAATCTTTCTTTACTAAAATCAAACATAAGCTACATAGCATTGAATAACAAATGAATATTTTTATGGAATTTTTAAGATAATTTTTGTCTCAGTTGTACATAATTTTAATTTACAGTCTTGGGTGGTTCATCGCCGATGCCTTTCAACTTAAAATAACTCCTGCTCTATTTTCCAACATGCACGTATTTCTATTTCGAAATTGACTATTTTTTCATAAATTTGCAGGTCGGCAGAATATCGGCTGATCATCCACTGGTGGGTGGTCACAAAGGTCCGGTGCTAGATATCGCATGGTGTCCACATAATGACAATGTTATTGCGTCAGGATCCGAGGATTGCGTGGTTAAAGTTTGGCAAATTCCAGATGGTGGAATTTCCAGGACTTTGACCGAATCTGTGGTTGATCTGCAATTACATCAGCGAAGAGTCGGACTCGTTCTCTGGCATCCGACAGCTCTTAACGTATTACTTACAGCTGGCTCTGATAATCTTGTGATTATTTGGAACGTTGGTACTGGAGAGTCTGTTGTGAAAATTGACTGCCATCCAGATGTAGTTTATTCTGCCTGTTGGAACTGGGATGGCTCTAGATTAGTTACTACTTGTAAAGACAAAAAAATAAGAATTATCGAACCTAGGACGGGTAACATTGTTGAAGAGGCTATTGCTCACGAAGGTAGCAAAGCTACAAGAGCCATATTTTTAAGGTACCATTGTATTCCCCATTATCGTTATTACTTAAAATTTTAGTTATTAATATTAATTAATAAACTAATTTTGTAAAATTTATTTGTAATACGTTGTTTTATTATTTCAGAGGTGGTTTAATTTTTACAACAGGGTTCAGCAAAATGTCCGAAAGACAGTATTCATTAAGAGCCCCAGATATGCTTGCAGAACCAATTGTTATGGTAGAACTTGATACCAGCAATGGAGTAATGTTTCCTTTGTACGATCCCGATACAAATTTAGTTTATCTTTGTGGAAAAGGAGACTCTGTTATTCGCTATTTTGAAATAACTCCTGAGCCTCCTTTTGTTCATTATATCAACACTTTTCAAACGCCAGATCCTCAAAGGGGAATAGGTATAATGCCTAAGCGCGGCTGTGACGTTAACAGCTGCGAAATATCGCGATTTTATCGACTGAACAATTCTGGCTTTTGTCAGGTCATATCTATGACTGTCCCAAGAAAGGTATTTTATTTAATAAATCTAATCAAAGAAGTTATATTTTATGCGAGTCATACTTTATTGAAAGGGGCAATAAATTAAACAAACAATAAAAATGTCAAAATGTTGATAAGAATTTATTGTCTTAAGCGCTTATACGTTTTCAAATATTATTTTATTATGAGCTGAAAAAACTTTTTTTCTTCTTTCTCTTTTCATCTGTTAATTGTTTTATTTTTCTTTTTTTTTTTTTTTCTTTTATGTAAAACTTTTTTAAGTGCCTGATAAATCACTAATGATTCCTGTTTAACATTAAATCTTCTTAATTATTTGCTGTAATTTTTTTTTTTAGTCTGAATTATTTCAAGAAGACTTGTATCCTGATAGTCCTGGGGATACCGCAGCTATAACAGCAGAGGAATGGGAGGCAGGACAAGATGCCGAACCTCTCCTTATTTCGTTAAGGGACGGTTATCAACCAACAACTTCTAAAAATGATCTTAAAGTCCACAAGAAAGCTAATCTCTTAAGTAAAGGAGCAAAAGTAGGCGCAAACTCTACTGGTGGACAATCAATGTCAGGTCTCTCGGTAAGTAAATTGAAATGCTTGTTACTATTATTTTTTTTTCTTCCAATTGATTTTTATTGAATTAAAATGTACATTGCATATTACGGATATAAATATTACAGGATGACATTATCAAAGAATTTTCGGAAGAAATTCGAAAGTTAAAAGCTATGATAGTTAAACACGAAGGGCGAATTCGAGTACTAGAATCTGCAGTATCGCTTCAGATGAAAGAACAAGAAAGAAATGAAAAGTCTTCCTCGCCAATAGATAAGGAGTCACTTGCATCCGATGAAGTTTGATTCAGCTAGTGGTTATATTTTTATATCCTTACCCACGGAAACCATTTAATTGTGTAATAAATGAAACGTGCGTATTATATTTTGATATGATAGCTGTGTATATACTAGGTAACTTAGCATAGTAGCGTGCTCTAAAATCATCAACAGTGTCTTGATTATTTATTGTACATCCAGCGTCTTGTATTTTTCTTTATTTCTTTCTTTTTCTGCTTCTATTTTCCCTTTTTTTTTTTCTCTTCTCATTCATCAACATATTCACATTTTTATAATCTTTTACATAATTTACCATAATAATATATCGAATCATTCATCGTTACCTGTTAATAGGATTTACGTTTATGTTACATTTTAGTGTTATGTTATTTTTTGAGATTTTTATGTACATGCGCGCGCCTTGGAGGAAAAACTTTTCATAAAACATGAGTGCCTTAATTTGTACAGAAAAAATCTACTGTAAAATAACAAATCTAACAAGCAATTGTTCTATTGATTGTATTTGACATTTGGAACCTGTTAAACTATTATGAATTGTCTAATAATCACATTTTATATAATGTAAAAATAGCAAATTTTACTCTACTTTTCGAATTTTTAAAAGAAATGTTAATCGTTCGAATTACACACGTTTAATATATGGTTGACAATTCATGATGAGCAAAATTTACTCCCTTGTCTTGTTAAAAATGCAAGAAAAAAATAAAATGATTTTAAAAAAAATGTTGATTGTCTTATGTATTTGTAAAGCTGACCTTTATTAAATTTTATGTTGTCAATCCTCTGACCGTATTTTCTTTTAGTAATTATTTTTTTAATTTTAATCGTGACTTTGTGCATTTATCGTTTAAAGATTATATTACAAGCTGACGTCAAGATTAGTGACGATTAATGACATTGTAACGTGTTTGTGTTATCTGCATACGTGCGGCGATGATATTTTAGAAAGGGATGGGTAAATAAATAGAATTGCTGTCGTGTACAGTAGAAAAATGGCATTGCCAAATAAAATTACGCTTTTCTTTTGGAAAATTACTCTTGTCGGATACGTAATTGCATATCCAGATAAATATGAATTCCAAGGTTCATGTAATTCTTTTGATTTTAAGAGTCTTTAAATTAACCATCAACAAGCAGTGAATTAATTTTAACCTACAATTCGTATAAACAAAGTTTATAAATCCACAGTTTGTTGTTTTATGCGTGAATGTATCTATTATTATTATTATTATTATTACAAGTTAATAACTAAATATGACCTTTATCTTATTTCAGATATTGATACTAATATGAAATTCAATTTATTAGATATATTGAATGATTATACAGAGAGTGAAAAGGACCATCGTAGGGACTCCACCGATGATCCATATGAAAATTGGACTGGTCGTTGGATGCCAAGTCGACCTGGGGAACCTACACCGCCGCCTAAAGTTGTTTCTAATAAAGGTAAAGATGAAGAATCGCACCACGATTCTAGAGTCCCAATGGGCGTTAAATCACCAGATTGCGATGATGGAAAGGTATCGTTGTTATAAGATGTCGATTTTGTTATTCTAATTAAATGACAAAATACAATTTGATGTAAATATAATATTTTAGACTAATTTGACAGTGGACTGGGATCACTCTGTAACAAGTTACACTTGTTACGGTCAGAAAATTAATCCTGATACAGAAATTTCTCCAGAATTATATTGTGATACAATACCCAAAAAATACGAGGTTTTTTTTTATTTTTAATAATTTATTATGTAAATCATTCTATTGAAAAATTTAAGCGAATGTAATAAACTTTTGGCATTTTTAGGCTATCCATAAATGCATGTACGAGAGTATTGAATATAAAGATGATATTCCAACATAGTAAGTAGGGCCTTGACTTTTTACTCGAATAATTATATTGAATGTAAACGAAATTTACGTAAATTATCGTGAAAAATATATGGCTATCGTTTTAGCGGAAGTCATCGTCCAATTTGGCCAACATATGGAGAATACACGTACGTGCCAAAACAAAGATGGATTCACAATTTGGAAGTAAGAATTTATATTTCTTGGTAATCTAATGAATTTAAAGTAAATTTCAATTTTCTTCGACGTATTTTCAGCATGGAGCTGTCGTCATGTTATATCATCCGTGTGCAAATAGCTTGGAAGTGGAACGTCTAAAGGGAGTAGTAAAGGGTTGCCTCCGCAGACATATTATAACACCCTATGATCTCGATGAAACCAAAGTAAATAGAACGTTAATTGTAATGAGTAATACGTTAATCAATTGTTTAATCATAATATATAACGCGATGAAAATTTCAGCCATTAGCGTTGGTGACATGGGGCTGCCGTTTAACCATGTCCCATGTCAATAAAGAATTGGTTATTGACTTTATTAAGGAACACGCTCTCCATGCTCCAGAAAATCGCGTTTACAAAGACGGAGATTTTGACGATCAGTTAATAAAAAAGTCTGACATTGTATCCGATGAAGAGGACAGCATAATATGCTTTAAGCAAATGTGATTACTTCAATACTGATCTCTAATATACTAATACATATGATCTGTAAAATTACTTAATTTATATTTCGAAATACGTTAGTCTGTGATTATTTTATACGTCAAACTTATTTAAAATATTTTTTTATCTATACAATAATTTATTTAAGAATACCGGTAAAATTATATAATTAGTGTAGTATATTAAGAGTCTATGTGTATGTAAATTGTATCCATACTTTGTACATAATTTATTTGCACATTTAAATGGAAATAAAAGTTTATGGAACGGATAAATTATAAGACAACAGTGGAAGATGTTTGTAAGTTTACTTCCAATCTCGAAATTTACATTTTACAGCAGTATCTTTAAAATGAATCGAGTACTTTAGATTATTGATTAACGCAAAACAAACTTTACGTCGAGACTGCGATAGGCTTCGCGTAGCGGAAACACTATTAATGTTTGGTATTAATTTTTTAAGGTGCTCGAGCCTTATATATTTTTACAAGCAATTTAAAACAATATTAGTTGATTATGAAAATGTTATTTTGACCTGATTTATTTATTGTCTACGTGGCGCTAATAATTCTTCGATTATACGATGCATACGATGATCGAAAGCGTCTTGTATTTACAAGCGAAATCGGAGAAACGTGAATTTTATACCCAAAGCAAAATGATATAAGCAATGATTATTAATTAACAATTATGAGATGACTTTCGATATTTTAAGGTTTTCCTTTGTGTATCATGTACATTATGCATACTAACATATTATATGACGTGTCGCTCATTCTTTTTCCAAGGAAGTACAGGTATGTTTTCATGTTAAAAGAAAACAGTATCTGAGTTCACGACTACACATTAAAGAGCCACATAGCTTACGTAAACTTTCTAACACGATTAAATACAACAAACGGTAGAAATAATGTAATGCGTCTTTTTATAAACATAACATAATATATAAAAAAAGAAAAAAAAAAAAAAAAATGAAGCAGATCTGTTTTCTTTTATGTGACAAGTTACATCAACGTATAAGATTATTTTAAATTATGAATGACATTGTCGATCATTTTTTACGGAAGCCTCTCGATAGTCCGAATAGTAAAGATGTTTGATATCTTTGGTGCACTTGTAGTAATAGAAGATTCCTATTTAAAATCTATACACGCTCTTGAATGAGTAATATTGCTCCAGTGGGCATTTGTTTGACTTGCATTATATTACGTGTACGTGTGTGTTTAAAAAAAAAAAAAAAAAGATTTCCCCTTTCTTTCTTTTTTTTTTCTCTTTTTTTTTTTGTTCAACACGATACAAAACTTCATAGTGAAATCTTGATAATAATATTGTAAAACACTTAATTTTTTAACGAGATAAATAAATAATTTTCTAAGATATTTATTAATAATTGTTAGCTTTGATAAATATAATACAACTTTTGTAACACTTATAGCAATTTAAAAGCGACTTTGTAAAATCATTTTTTTTTCCTATTATTGAAAATATTGAAAATTTAAGTAAATACTAAATGTGATCATGTCGAAATTTTAATATTTCTAATAATTTTAAATTATTCTTTAACAATCCATTTTCTCGCAATTTGTTTCTTTTCTTTTTTTTTTCTTCTGTTTTTTTATTTTTTGGAAAAACAAGTTTTTACACATAATGGCATTTTAAAATTCTTCAACACGCTTTACTTTTTACAATTTTAAAAGCTAGCGACGAACAAAATTCAATCAACATATGCTTATAGAATTAAAAAAAAAAAAAAAAAAAACTTTAATTATATCATTCGGTTAATATCGAAATTTTTCTATTTTATCGTCTATTTTATAGACAAATTTCGTTTTCTAGTAAAAATTGTATAAAGATATTTTTTGAATAGATGTAATTTGAAAGAACTATTTGAAATTCGACTGCAGTATAGAAACTTCTTTCGGTTAACAAATTAACATTAAACAAAAGAGCGGTAAAAGTGTGATTCGATTAATGTAATTGATTTTACTAATGGGTATAACAACACGGGAGAAAATAAAGTTTTGAAAACCAAGGCAAATGTAATTAAAAAATATAGAGGATAGTGGTAGTGTATCATTACGTTGTTGTATGTAGAAACGATATGTTCAAGGAGCCGATTTTGCCACAACAATATTTCTTTCAACATGCGGCCTTTTTATTTTTAAAATGCCATTAGTCCCGGGAGCGTAAATTTTCTTTCTACTATCAGCGATGGAGAATTTTTTATTTTGTGCTGTGAATAATTTCATATACGCGACGAAAGGGCACATTCGCTTGATCACAATGTCTACACTCGCCGCCATCGTCAGCAACTCGTCTTGCCTCGCCTTTTTATAAATTGCGCTTTTCAAGTTGCGTGGTTTTGTCAACAATTTTCTTGTAATAATCCAAATCCATCGAGTAACTGACGATCGCGAAAGGTCCTAAAATTATTGCCAATTTTGTACACCTCATATGTTTACACCTATAGAACGAAATGTCTGTTTCCGAGTAATTATCTATTAAAACTGAAAGAGAATATTTCACCTTATTTTTTTTTTATTCTTTTATTCGAGAGAAAATGTACATTAGTCGCCCGACGTGAGTACGAGATATTAATATTTATAGGCAGAAAACACTGTTGATTTTTATTTAGATAAGTCATCATTAAATACAGAATTCTTAATGTTTTATTTATGAACTTTGTTTCTCTATGAAATACCTACAATAAAAAGTATTCGTAAATTTTTTTCTTTCTTTCAATATTATTCTTTTCGCTTCTTTCATTCATTTGCGCTACAATAACGTAGTTTTTTTTCTACTACACGCACTTTTAAACGTTACTCTTCCCACTTTGTTTGTTTGTTTTTTTTGCTGTTGTTTTTGCTTTAATTATATTAGCTCATTAAGTATAATCTCACTTCTGTCGCATGAAATTCACTTATGTGAACTGTTTTTTTTTACTTTTTTCTTTGCTTCGTTTAATTTAATTATAGTTAAAGTTTCTTCTGTACTTATCTCTTCAACAGCGCACCATATTTGTAGCTTCTTTTGTTTATCTTTCATTTCTAAACATTTTTCAAAATTATGATTTAGCTGAAAGTAGAATTGACACTCATAAGGTTATTAAAGTAGCCTTTCTTATTAATAATTGCATCGATGTGACACCGACTCATGTACATTTTTGACATTCACTTACCAGCGATAAATTTGATCGAATCTTTAATTAATCATTCAATTATTTTTAATTATATTATATCAAAAATGGTTAACCGATAATATTTCGTCAAGTAAAGTCATGAATATGATTTATGTAACAAGAATTTATAAAAATACTAAATTATCCCTTTAGATATATTCTTCGAATAATAAAAAAATTGTGTATATTAATATTAAATATAAATATTAAAAAATAATAAAAAAAAAATAATAGCACACTTAAAAATTAAGTAATTAGCGCTATTTAATGGGACAAAAATCATTATTGATGTTTTGATATTATTCGTACAAATATTTTATTTTTTTTTTTAATATACGATTTCGGCCCAATAAACAAATATAATCATTATAAATTAAAGTCTGACTAATTATTAGTTGTCATTATAACTTTTCTCTCTCTCTCTCTCTCTCTCTCTCTGTCTATATCTTTATTACATTTTTCTTTCTTAACGACTACAAAAATGCAGATGAGTTCAGCGTTTCAGCAATGCTATCCGGTATATTGATAACAATATGTATAATATGTATAATTATATTTACGTACTCGGTCGTGCGTACACTGTGAGGCATTTATTTTTCTTTGTTTATACGGTGTGAAAGTTTAGTGCCGAGGTTGAACGCTACGCACACTAGTCTCTTTGGCATGAGAGAATATGATTTTTTTTTTGTATTATTTTTATTATCCGCCGTTTCATCGTCGTTTAATATTATATAACATGTCAACGTACAATTCTTCGTCATTGTTTTATGTATACCTATGTATAAATAAATTTTCCTAATATTCTAAATGAGAAAGGTGAATGAAAATGCCATTTTTAGTTCTCGCTTATTTGTATACAATTCAACTGACTTGTACTTTAACAACATTAAATAAAGACAGTTAATTTTAAAAAGATATTTTTTAAAGAGTGATAAATTTAGGAAGACCAAAAACGTCGAGGGAATTTATGAACGTCATTTCCAATTGGCAAAAATAGAGAGAGACATTGAGAGGGAGAAAGACGTAAATGTAAAGGAGGTTGGAGAATCAAGAGATTGATGTATGGAGAGAGAGAGAGAGAGAGAGAGAAAGAGAGAGAGAGAGAGAGAGAGAGAGAGCCACGTGCTCTGCAGGAAAAGAGAGAAGATAATGAATATGTTCAATTTTATACATTTTATCTTCTTTACGGTTAATAGGAAAATAATATTTTACGTAAAAACATAACAATTACATTTACATTTTCTTCTTTGTATACGAAGCATAGAAAACAAAAACATGAGTTGGCGACTGAGAGGCAGGTGCGGTTTCTTAACAGCTGTTTCAACCTCGATAAAAGTCATAATTCTTATATTTTTCTCTAGATGTACTTTGTTTGTTAGGCCAAACTCGCTAATAAAAATCAATTGTGCTTTGATATAGTCAATAATTCTAATCGTTTTGTCTTTTTGTCATCATTATTATTTCCCTTCAATTTCTTTTTTGTTTATTACTTAAACTTAATCTACTGATAATAAAGTATTTATTTTTTCTCTCGCACTCCTTTAATCTCTCATTCTCGTCAATTCCTAGATAATAATTATCGCTAAGATCTATGTATACTAAAATCGGAGACTGCGTAAGCTAGACTCTATTGAAACTCACTAGACGCTGGAGCTAAATAGAGTTCTGACTAGAAATTCTCTCTCTCTCTCTCTCTCTCTCTCTCTCTCTCTCTCTCTCTCTCTTTATAGTTTATCGTTCTTCTTCCTCCTTTTCTTTTCCATTTGTTAACTTGTTTTAATGCGTGCATGCGTATGTTATCCGCCCATAATGCATGTCACGAGGCATGCGTCATATTTCTTTGAGATTTGACGTGACTTTTACAGTCGTTCGATATTCAAGCGCACCACACGATTTTCGCCGTTCAAATTTCTAATATAATATTTAAACATGTGATTTATAATAATGCACGAAATATTTTTTTCATCATTTTAAACAAGGGTTTTGAGTATTATCAAAGTACTGTTTCCCCCCTCGCTCTGTTGGTTCGAACAACGCGTTAACTTATATGCATTGTTAGATAATTGTAGAATTTCTTTCCTTTAGGAGAGAATTACGAAGTACAACAATGCTTTACTAATAATACTCGACTCGCTTAATTAACGTTCGAATTTTATTACACGATTCAGACGCGCCAAAAACTTTTCGATCACAGTTGCTTGAAGGTATAATTTGTTCTTATTCTTCTTTTGATATACTTTAAATGACGATCTGAGAATACATTCGCACAGCTGAAAATCCGAGTTGATCATTAGTGTCAATATCATGTAAATCATTCGTCATACTTTTCCATTTAATAATTTAAAACTTTAGCTATTTACAGTGAGATTTTTACGCGTTTTAATAAACAACGTAAAGCTAATATAAATTTAAAATTTATATCATCGGTCAACTATGAAAGTGCCAATTAAATAAATAAATTTTTTTACGCATGCGGAATAACTACGTCATAAAAGGAATTATAGTCAGATTTTAATGCACTTTTATCTAACGTTTGCCGTTATGATGCAACACAGTGACAAAATTTGCTTAAAAACTGGAAAGAATACGTCGAATTTTCAACGATGACCTTTTCTATTCGATAGCAAGAATAATCGACTTCGTTTATTTCAATTATCATACATTTGCGCGGATCTTTCTGTCGTTATCCTAATATAGTCTAAGGATACGAGGCGATTCCCTAAAGAGTAAATAGCAATTGAATAAACATTTGCTTTAAAAATTTATCAATCACATTAAAATGCACAGACTTGAAAATTTGAATTTTAAATTCATCGCGTTATTACGTTACTTTAAATTAATTTTATTCCCTTTTTTTTCTTGTTTTTTTTTTGTTTTTTGTTTTTTGCTTTCATTCTCGATCCGGACGTTCGAGAAACCATTAGCGTTAGCGTTTTCCAGTTCGTTTTCTCAGAAACCCGAGACACGTATTTTTCTTAAATGACCCGTATATGTAATCGCACGCAACGCGTCGAAGACACGGCACTCGACTCGATTCTGCAATGGTCTACCAAATTCTCGTACTAATAATATACAATTAATACAATTTGATTAATATTCAAGCGACTTTACGAAACATTTGAATGCTCCGTTGAGCAATGTAGAGTGAAGTTAAAAAGAAACAAAATTGAATAAAAAAAGTACCTACACAAAATTTTATATTAATATTATTCGCGATTTAGTGAGTTAAATTAAGCAGATATTGGATGCATTGGCTTGATAGATAATATATGGATCGATAGGCCCGCATAAAGATCGTGGGAATAAGTGAGAGGGAGGCTGGTGGGGAAACGAAGGAGATGAATAGAGAATGATAGGGCGAGTAAGCACGTGGGAGAGGGAAAGGGTTCAAATTTTCCGTGCCTTCGACGACGAGTATTCCAAGTACACGCCTATACATATCTTATGTTTGTCTCTCTCCATTGCGCACTACACGTTCTTTCTTTTCAATCTTAATTATAAGCTTTTTTTTTTTATTTTATCGAGTAGCTATTACATTCGAAACCTTATACTTGATTTAATTACGAAGTTTCTTTAACTTTAAATATTTTGTTGTGTATTTTCATAACTCATACTGTTATTGGAGAATATAGTAGATAATAATAGTAATGTAGCTACCTAAGCTAACAATTACACTTTCTGTACAATGCACAGAATTGTAAGCCTCGAGTTTCATTATGAACATCACGAATTCTCATTCGCTTATCGTGCACTTTTCATCGCACGATTCACAATATTTTTTTTACGTCATCGTACCATGCTCGCATATTCCTAAATAATGTCCATTTTCATGATTTAATTTAGCCGCCGTCGTCCGAATAAATAACGCATAATCGCTCCGAAGAATAGTCGTCGCCGTTGAACTCTCAATTCATCTTACGAGGCAATAAGACAATAATGCCTCAACACACACTTTTCAACGTTCATATATAATATTTCAACGAAAACATCGTTCAACATTTCAACGTACTTGTAACGCTCGCGCTCCTTATAATAATGATTCGCTAATTTATTTTCGATCTCCTTGCTCGTCTTTATCACGTTATCATAGCAAGTGATAAGCACGGTCCTTACGTAGCGTGTACATCTGAAAATATGAGCGGCCCGAATCAAAACTCGAAGCTTCCCCCCCCCGCCCATTTCCCCTCAGCGCGTCGCCATTACCCCTCGCTCTTCCAATCCTACTCCCACTCTCACGCACTCATATCCCCATTCACTCGCTCAGCTTTTCATTTTATTCTATTACATTTTATTTTTTGTTTAATTCACAATAACACCTAGGTTATATCATATTTATTGCTGCGCAGCAGAATGCGCCGTCTTCGCTTTCATCGCTTGCGACACCAAGTCCCCGAAGCAACCACTCCGCCGCCTCCTCCTCCTCCTCCTCCTCCGGACCAACGCCGCCTCGTTTATAATGAACGACGAAAGTCTACACCGAGGCCACCTGTTCTTACGGTGTATGGGACACGTGTGCCGCTTCCACGTCTCGGTCTCGGAAAACCTCGTGCGCTGGATTGGGATGGGATTGTCCGAGTCCGTGTGGGAGTGAGGGCGACGAGGCCGAGCGCAGCCACGTGCTTGGCTAGGCATCGGGGATGCGCGGTACGTGAACGACTCGTTGAATTGCTCTGTGTAGGTGGTGTTGACGTTGGGGTTGGCGCGGTCGCGTGCGCGATCGGAGGAGGGGGAGGCGAGCGAGTTGCAGTTAACGCTTACGTTGGTGCGCCTGCGGCTCATTTCCTTGCTCTTCTTTTCTCCCTTTGAGCGAGCGCCATTCGTCATCGTCATCGTCTTCGTCTTCGTCTTCAGCTCCTTCGTCCTCTTCTTGCTCAATTTTTATCGTAACACGTTCAAGGGCACGGGACGATATGCGTCGGCTCGTACGTTAGCGTCAAGGCGTTGATGCTGCCGTGCCGGATTCTCGAGCTCGTCAAAAATCTTGCACGCTTACGACGCCTTCGACATCTGGAAAATTAAGATTGTAGATTTGGCAGGGTGGACGGTGATTTATCGTTGGAAGGACTTTTTCGTTCG